CGTGGGAACCCTCAAATAACCCAGGCTATTGCCAAGGCTGTTGGTGGTTCTCCACACACTGACAATAAGGCCCTGCTGCTGAAGACGACCTCTAAACAACTCAATGAACATGGAGAAATCAAGCTCGTGCCTACTTAGAGGCTTCATTTCTATGAGCTAGTTGTCATGCTACTGCAAGGTACTCTGGAAGCTACCAAAGGAGAAAGGCAGACACCAAACCAGCTACAAACCCTTTGATCTACAAGAGTGACCTGCTAGTGCAATATGCTAGTGCAATAGGGGCTTATAGGAGTAACCAAACAATAAGGCCTACGCCATGAGATAGATAGAACTCGTGCCCTGTGCTGCATGAGGGCCAAGAAGAGGAGACTAGACAGGCTAGGGATCTAGGGAAAACAAAATGCTACTGTTCTGCTAAAGGAATACAGCAATAAAATGACTCACAAGGACATTCTGCTGTACTCACAGATCTATGCCTGGCAGCCATCTTCTTGTAGCAAATGGGAGCAAGTACAGAGACCCACAGTCAAACATGTGCAGAGAGTGAGAGACCTTTGGAACACGTAGCCCTACAAGGAGTATCTCCATCAAACCCCTTCTCTCGGGGCTCAGGGAACTCCCAGAGGAGGTGGAAAGTGTGTAAGAGCCAGAGGAGATGGAGGACACCAAGGAACCAAGGCCTTCCAGACACGACAGGGCTGGTACACATATAACTCAGAGACTGTGGCAGTATGCACAAGGGCCTGCATGAGTCTTCACCAAATGGGGTCCTAGAAAAGTGAACACAGGCCCCATCCTTAACATAGAAGCTATCCCTAATAGGTAGTCACTTGCAAATGAAAAGTTGGTTTTCTCTGAGGGGGTCTCACTGTGGAAACAATCCAGTCTTAAGGGTAGATCTCATGTCCAGCAGTAGACAGCCAACAGAAACTCAAGGCATCTTTGGGGTTCTTTGCTTTATAATGTTTAGTCAAAGCAATTATTTTCTATCTTACAGGTCCTTCGCATATGTAATATAGCTTCTGGTTTTATGTTTTTATGGGATTGCTGTGTGTGTGTCAACATGTATATCTCTGAAGTTTGTTTTTCGGGTGTTTCATTCTGAGCTGGTGATATAAAAGGCAGCTGGCTATCACCCTAAAAACAAACTGCTTTATATCACATCTCCAACCAGCAGGCCTCATAGATAGACAGACCAAAGGCCAAGACAGACAGTCATCCCAGATCTCACTCATGTCTCACTGATACAGGCCTTCCTTGGGACACTGAGACTAGTTAGTGTCTACAAGTGTCAAGCCTGTACTCCTCCAGGAATCACCTGGACTGGAGCATTAACTCATCCCAAGCAAGCCATTAATACATGGCAAACTATTAACAACATGTATGTATAAGTTCTGTTCTACAATATGGAATAAAAAAGCACCTCCATTAAATGAAATATAAAAGTGCCCCTCCCCAGAGTTCATAGTCTGAAGATAAACATACAGAAAATTCTGAGACAATGAAAGTGGAAAAACGAACAGGGGAAAATACTAAGAAAAAAAATGACAGATTAAGAAACCAAAATGAATAGGAATAAACTTGGTCAAGTATGTAGTTTCAAAGTAATATTCATTGTTAGAATAGAGCTTTAAAAAAATCAGTTGAAAAGCTTCCCCACGTATTAAGGGGAAAAAGACAAGTAAACAATAAAAATAACAAGAAAAACAAAAATGAGCAAACAAAAAAAACCCTAATGAAGTGGACAGAGGTATCCATATTTTAGACAAAACACCTAGTTTTTAAGACTTATTGCCAATCAGACTATACAATTTTAACTTACATGATTTATTTACTTTCTCTATGTATTAACCTGTAGAAATATATGTACACATTTAAAAAACTGTTTTAAGTGTGTCTGGCAGGCTATTCAAAAGAATTAAAATAAGCAATATTGGTGGATAGTTTTATGGGAAAAAATACATCTTCTAATTTCTAAAAGAAAGTACCTTAGAGCCAGAATTCTGCACCAAACACACATTTCAGTTCACTGAGAATGCAAAAAGATACAACTTGTCATTAAAAAGTGAGAAATTCCACCAATTATGTATCTTGAATTATAATTTTATTTAAAGAAAGTAGGAGAATTCTCAGAAAACAGTGAAACAATGCAAGATTAAAAAGATCCAATGGAGCTATGTACATAGTTTAAATGTTGTAAAAGCCTATTTCCAGTGGTAGTCACAATGATACAAAACTCCATTTTCCAGCCAAACAAGAAGATTGCATCTCTAATACAATATTTCTATTATATTGAATTATTCAAATTATTTCCAATAATATTTCCATAATTGGGCCAATAAAAATGCTCAGTAAGTAGATAAAGGTGCTTGCCACCCAGTCTGATGATCTGAGTTCCATCCTTGAGACTTATATGATACAGGAAGAGAACACACTCCTGAGAGTTGTCCTCTGATCCCCACAAGCACACTGTGCCTTTCAGAAATATGTACATAGGGGCTGGAAAGGTGACAGATGACACAATAATTACTGTGCACTGCTGTTGTAGAGGACTCCAGTTCTGTTCCTAGAACTCAGTCCAGAGGCTCACAACTGCCTGTAATTCCAGCTCCAGGAGATCCAATGCCTCAGGCCTCCTAGTACATTTGCACTCATATGCACATCCCCATACACATCACACACACACACACACACACACACACACACACACACACACACACACACACACACAATTAAAAATAAATCTAATCCGAGAGGTGGTGGTGCACATGCCTTTAATCCTAGCACTAGGGAGGCAGAGGCTGGTGGATCTCTATGAGTTTAAGGCCAGCCTGGTCTACAGAACGAGTTCCCAGACAGGCTCCAAAACTATACAGAGAAACCCCGTCTCGGAAAAAACCAAAATAAATAAATAAATAAATAAATAAATAAATAAATAAATAAAATCTAAAAATTATATACTGGTTTCCACTTTTGACTCACTATGGAAAACAAATTACAGTTGTCACAAAATCCTGCAAAACATGATAGATCTTGATTATATATATATATATAATTATAAAATTTATTAAAAATTATATTTTATAATATATAATGTACATCTGTGTATATTTATTACATATGTGTGTGTATGTATAGTAATAGAGCAACAGAATTGAGGAGATCACTAAAGAAGAAAGGGAGGAAAGGATGCTAAGTGCCTTCTCCTCCACGAAGTAAGTAGGGACAGTATCTAAAGATAATGGACTGGAAACAACTTCTAAAACCAAGTTGTTCAGCTGCCTTCCTGAAAGGGACTATGTAAATAAGCTACTAAATGCTGTAAGGGACAGCCCCTTCCCTGGAAGCACTCCAGCTACGAAACAGGGAAGAATCAGTAGTGTGTCACCATTTTACAACTTCTTCCAGGGCAGGAAGAGATCTTGAGACAGGAGAACAAACATAGAGGTAAACGTCGACACCCAGAACTCTAGCCACAACGACTAATTTACAGGACATGTAGAGAAGAGAGACCTACAAACGACACAGCAGGGGATGTCTACAGGACACTACACCTGCCACTCAGGACCTATAAATCAGAACGGGATAGAGGAAACCCAAAAGACATATCGTCTAAACTCCGTGTTCTCAGAATTATGTTTGTATTATGCTTGCAGAAATCTTCAATAAAAGGAAGAAGAAAATGAGGGAGGGGGGAAGAAAGGGGAGGGGCTGCAGGGAAGTCAAGGAAATCATAAATACTGGAACAGAATGTTGGAGCTGCTGATAGAAGGACTGAGTTCCTATAAAAGACCTGGAGAAGAGGTGATTCGTCCCCCTTAAGTTTTAAGATGGTCACCATGCCTCTGCCACTTTGCTACTCTGGCCTTGTATAACTTCCTTCCGTCTGTCCCACCACCCTTATTTAACAGGACAGTCTTCCTAGTGATTGGGCTACCATCATGCTAGATGAGACAGAAAGTTTCCTAGATGCTTGGAAGGCACCGCCACCTGTGAGGGATGACAATGCAAAGTTTAGACACTGAGTAACCCATATCCAACAACTTGCAAGAAAACAGAGAACTCCAGTCCTCTTGCTGACCTCAAACAACCAGAATGAGCACCCCAGACAAGAGCTCAGCCCCAGCAGACACCTTCAGTTCAGGCAGGTGCGACACCTGGGCTCTGCAAAAGAGTTCATCTGTGCCTGCACAGGATCTGTAAAATAATACTTTCGTTTTGTTTAAAGTCACTGAGAGTGTGCTAATTAGTTATGCGGAAACAAAACCAATACCTGCTCCTTACACATGAATACATTAGATCTTAGATGACTAAAACAGGGAGACTGAGGCAGGAGGGTTATTCCAAGTTCAGGGCTAGCCTGGACTCCAGAGGAAGTACCAGGCTATACAGGGAAATTGTCTCAAAAAGGAAGCATGCTAGGGGGTGGGGTATTGTTGCAGTAAAAACGTAAATTGTCTTAGCCACTGAAATTTAAGAGCGCCTAGAACTCATCTGAGTTGTTGGTCACATTCAGCTTCTCCACAAGTGTGGAGTAGGGCCCCTGATTCTGCACCCAGGAGATTCTGCACCACATTCACACTCCGCAAGTGTGGAGTAGGGCTCCTGATTCTGCACCCAGGAGAAGGACTTCTGATGCCAATGCCAGACTTTCATTGGCTGTGCACACATCAGAGGTCCCTACTCATTTATCCCTATTTTTAAGTCCCCCATTAAGATGAAGAACACTCAAGAGCCTGGGCGCGATGTCTTCTTCTTCCCTCCTGCTCACCACTGAAGTCCCTTCCTTCTGTATCCGCTGGGCTGTGGCCTCTGGCATAGGCAAGTAAGTCTGTGATCCACTGCCCCTTTAAAGAAGGCCCCTCCTAGTCCTGTCCCCTCAGCTCCCTCAGCTCCGTAGCAGCCCCTCCTTCCTTCCGGACACCTCTGACCTTGACACGCCCTGCAAGCCCCTGGCCAGACCAGAAGCATCCCCTGCAAAGCCCACACCGGGAACGGACCTGCTGCCTGCAGAGAGCGGCGGCAGGACTGCTCTGCTGGAAGCAAGAGTGCTGAGAGAGTGCAGAATCGCTCCTGGGAGAGGGCGAGCGCTCCTGGGAGACCTGGGATCTGCTCCCTCCTCAAAGTGCAAGCTTCTAAGCTGTGCTGGCCGCCTTTTATGCCTGAAGAACAGTTTCGGTTTCCCTTCTGCTCCCAGAAGCAGCCTTAAGTTTCGATTTCCATTCATCGCCTATCAGAGAAGCCGATTTGGGAAATGTAGCTTTTAGCATTGCTCTGTAAAGTCAGAACTGTAAGACAAGGAAAACGGAGGCTTTGAGAGTATTGAGGTAAATAGGGAGGGAATTGTGACAGAGAAATCTGAGGACATCCAAGCCTGGCTACAGTGTAGAGGGCCATAGAAGCAGAACACCAGATGTGGTGCCTTTTGCTCCCTCAGGTGGGGGCAGGAAGGAATTTGAGAATGCCTGAGTTGATTACTGAAGCCGGTGACTAGTCTATTTGGGATCTTCTTTGGCCAATAAACACCACTAAACAAGCTGAAAATGGAGCCTACTTATTTTTATTTCTGCCTTAATGATTTTTCCTTTCCTTTCCTTTTCTCTCTCTCCTCTCCTCTTCTCTTCTCTCTCTCTCTCTCTCTCTCTCTCTCTCTCTCTCTCTCTCTCTCTCTCTCTCTCTCTCTCTCTCTCTCTCTCTCTTCTCTCTCTCTCTCTCACCTGTTGATTCCTGCAATTTAGGTTGGGTGTTTTTTTTGTTGTTTTTTTGGGGTTTTTTTTTTTTTTTGATTTTTCGAGATAGGGTTTCTCTGTGTAGCTTTGTGCCTTTCCTAGAACTCGCTTTGTAGACCAGGCTGGCCTCGAATTCACAGAGATCCACCTGCCTCTGCCTCCCAAGTGCTGGGATTAAAGGCATGAGCCACCACTGCCCGGCTGCAATTTAGGTTGGATAGCTGGATTGCTTAGTATCCCTGTGACTTTGGGAAGGCTTTAAATATGCTGATTCTAGAAAGTGAGGAAGTCTTGCATTTGGGTGATCTTGACCAAGATGGGACTAGAAGCTGGGCTCTCTACTCAGTAAGGAACTGACAGAACTCTATTCCACAAGGAAAGAGCACTGGATGCAGTGAGCAATAAATTTCCAAATCATAAACATGTTCCCTAGCTCCACAAACATTCACCACTTTGAAAGTCATTAAGGATGGGCCCTCCCTCATGGTCAACTTTCCATACACCTCCTGTTTCCTTGGTAACAGAAAGGGAAGCATCAGCTCTGATCCTCCTCAACATTAAAATACCACATGAAGAGGTGGAAGTATAAGGTCCATTCACAGAAGGCTATGTTCTGGTTGAGAAAACACGACCTGAGTTCTTCCTCTGAGCCTGGGTGGAGACATGAAGTTCTGATACATCCCACAGATTGGAAAATTATGTATTATTGTCTCCTTCTTAAGAGTTAATACCTTAATTAATGTCTTAGTATGTCTACTACCTGGCTAGAAGACCTCTTCTCAATAAAGCTGACTCACCCAAGGACATTCTAGGAAGATGGGAGGAATAATCATCCCCTTCATAAGATACTGTACTTTGAAGTAGCCCTGTCCACATGCAGCTGTTCACAGATCTTTGCTTCTAAGAGTGTCTGTTTTTCTGAGTTCTAATTCAATAGGCATTAACTTTTTCTTTTGGCCTTTCTATCTACTTGGATACTAACCAAAACCCTAAGCATACTGGCTTTCAAACTCTGGACTTTCTCACAGTTTCTCTTATGGGAGCCCACAACTGACTCAGTTTCCCAGTTTGAATCTGATGTCTATTCTGAGTCAATAGAGTTCCAGCTTGTTTGCTCCAGGCCGAGAGAAAGTCCTGACAAGCCTGCAAAGTCTCCTTGAAGGGCTGTGAGAAAGTCCTGATTAGCCCACAGGTAGGAGCACACTGTCTGCTGATGCCAGCTGGAGGTACTTTGAGATAGGAAATGAAACTGCCTGCTCCTTGATGCAAGGCAGGATAGATAGTTGGTGAATTTCTGTGCTGTCCCTCAGAACTGTATATAAGCTGGCTGTGAAATAAACTCGGGGCTGTCTGGCATTGACTGGCAGACCTCTCCACTCTTTTCTGTGTTCCTTGTTGTCTCTCCAGTCCACACACGCTCACTCAGAAGAGTGGCAAATCTTTGTCCTCTCTCTTCTCAGCTGTGCCCAGTATTTACAGCTCACCTATCCTCTTGTTTTTCTCTCAAATCCTAATAAAATGTTCCTTGAGCTTCCTTCTCAGTAGATCCTTAAGACTCCTTTATCAATAAGACTGAAACCCCACAAAAGGGAATCCTGAAATAGACGACTCCTGGTTCCCCAGTGAATGATGAAAGTCAACCTTTCAATAAAGAAAGGTAGGAATGGTCAAGAAAAGGGCATTGCTTAGGTCCATCAAGCATTTATGTGTTTATGGTATTTGTTTATTTGGAAATCAGGGATGGTCATTCATGGTAATATCGAGAAAGAAAAGCAATGGACTTGGAATTAATATCTGACCTTTTCTAAACAAACCTCGGTTCTTACTCACTCTTCAATAGTATTGAAAAGTTGAATGTTGCCCTTCCCCGCTTCCTCCAGTAGAGGTCAGTGTCCTAATTCCCTGGGATTGTGGTAACTAACAGACACTGTGCAGACTAGGCTACAGGAAGGATGATGAGAAAGGGGGATTATCCCAGGTGGGCCAAAAGTAATCCTAACCAGAGTTTCACCATGGTGAAACAGGGAATCCAGGCTGGTAATCTGATTACAAATGGAGTCATTTAACAACAGTCTGTGGAGAAGAAGGAAAGACCACAAGTCAAGGAATCAATTGAAATAATCCACTGGAGAAGGGGACAAATCACCACAATTTGAGCCAACTATGAGCATTGGGAGGCCCAAGAGTGAGCTAGCACCTCAGGAAAGCTCTTGGAAGAGAAAACAGGCCAGGGTAGGGCTTTTAAAGTCAAAAGGCTGCAATCACACCACACAGGGTACAGGCTGAGGATAGTTTACAATGCACCCTCCTAAAACACGAAATGGGGGACCCCTAGATATGTAAAATGCCATGTAAGGAATAACCCTTTGGATGTGTCCAAGTGTCCCAGCAGTGAAGGAGAAATCCCTTTGTTTAGAAGATAGGAAATACCATTTGTTTACATGCAGGATAAGGAAATCCGACTATTGAAATGAGAAACCCCAAGAAACTAGGGTTGCCTCCGGGATTTCCAAAGGTCTAAACCCATAAGATAAGGCCTTGCAGAAGACACAGCCTGCAGGGGGAGGGAAAGGTCAGAGAACCACACTGTGGCTATACTGCTTGGTTGAGTATTTCTCTCGCCTTCTGTTTAAACCTTACCCTCACACCTTACCGTGAAGGTGGACTTGGACACTCACTGTCACTCACTGGGCCTTTTTGTCAAACTTTGCATTGTGGCATAATGGATAGATCTGATTTTTCTGTTTCTCATTGTTTATTTGACTCTTTCAATTGGTTTATAGAAAACAAAATCCCTTCATTCAGAACATAGAGGATACAAGCCTGAGTGGCTGGGACAACCAGAGTCGATTCTTCCTTTTCACTATTATTATTTTTCAACTTGTTATTTCACAAATTCATTAACTATATATGTAGCTTAGTTGGGTCATATTATACTCTTAGGTCCTTCAACTCCCACTGAACCTGTCTTTTTCCCGAGTCCCCATCCTGTTTTTCAGTCGTGTTGTTGTTGTTGTTGTTCCCGACCCCCAGCATTTAATTGGGATTTCCGGAGTGAGCATGAATGGAGGATATTTACTGGAGCAAGGGCAAATTATCTGTGGCTACCGCTGAAGAATGTGACTCCCCCAGGAAACATTAACTGCTTGCTGGTCCTCAGGAAGAGAGGAGACCTCATGAGCCCCTCTTTCTCATCCATGATGGAACATTGATGGTCCTTGTCTTTGTGCAGGTAGACTCTGCTGCTGTGAGTTCACAGGTCACAGGCATAACAGCCACGTCGTGTCCAGAATACAGTGTGTCACAGCACTCTTTCCCACTGTGAGCTCTTATATTCTTTCCACACCTTCTTCCATGATGTTCCTTGAGCCTTGGAGGGGAAGATATAGATGTCTCATTTCATGCTGAGCACTCGGCTGTCACTTACTCACTGGTTAATCTCTGCATTAGCTATCACCCACTGCAAATAAAAGCTACTCTGATCAAAACTAAGAGCAGCACAAATCTGTGAGAAAATATATATAGAGAGAGATAGATAAATATACAAATATTTAGAAGGAAGTTTGACATCATATCCATATAACAAAACAACAGGAATGGACTCCCCCTTAGAGCCTGTAACTCCCCCAGTCATGGGCTTTGGCCCAAGTTTACATTACCAGGTATGGATTCCTCGTGTAGAATAGACCTGAAATCCTAAAATTAGAAAGTGATTGTTTGCCTCCATAGCAGTCATGTCAATATTTCACCAGGGGGCACATCTTGTCTGACAGGTTAGTGTTACAGAAAATGTGTTCCGTTCTAGATCTTCTATAAGCCACTCTGCTGTGGTATGCCTTTCTGTATGCTGTGAATATGTGTTGCTCCCATTGAGTAATAAATAAAGCTGTTTTGGCCTATGGCAAGGCAGCTTAGAGGTAGGTGGGAAATCCAAGCAGAGATACAGAGAGAAGAAAGGAGTGTAGAGAGAGATGCCTAGCCACTGCCCAAGGAGCAGCAAGATACCAGCAGACCAGTAATGCCATGGCCACGTGGCAAAACATAGATTAATAAAAATGGGCTAATTTAAGATGAAAAAATTAGCTAGCAAGAAGCCTGCCATAGGTCATACAATTTGTAAATAATATTAAGCCTCTGAGTGATTATTTTATAAGCGGCTGCAGGACACCGGGGCCAGGCAGGACCACGGGGCCAGGTAGGACCGGAGAAACTTACTGCTACACCACTCCGGATGGCACCTTGATTTGAGCCCAGTAAAACTGACCTTCAGAACTGTCTAAGAATAAATTTGCCTTGGTTTAAGCCACTAAGTGTGTGATAATTCATTACTGGAGCCAAAACAAAAAATAAAAATGAAATCATAATACAAGACTGTAAGCTAATGTACTAGAAAAACCATGACATATTTGCCAGTGGCAAAACTAACAGATTATTACAACCCAGGAGGGTACTCTGAGCTCAGTGATATGGGACTATCCTTGTATTTATTGTCATATTCCTACCACCATTTTACAAGATGGGTACTTTCGTGTTGCTTTATAGATGAGATAAGGATTAAAGCGACATAGAGGCAATAAATGGTGCCGAGATTCAAAACTTGATGTAAACCAAAAGTTTGCTTATAGGATTTTCAATTACATGATCCCTGACAAACGCTTCTCATTCTAGAACTGAAATTCTTCCAGCTAGTAGAACAATTATTTTCTTTTTATTTACCTTTTGATTAGACCCATATGCTGTTGTTATCATTTCGGGCTTTCTTGGTGGGCAGTTTGGGGT